GATGGTGTCCAGCGATTCGAGCAAATTGGTTATACATGATTTGCCACTCCGGAATATATGTTGCCCGGCAGATGTAAGCCCGGACAGTTGTTCCTTGATATTATTAAGAACACAACGTTCCATAACTTTGGAAACGATACCGAGTAAGGAGATAGGGCAGTAGTTTTCGACGTATGCCTTATCATTCTTCTTGTGAAGAGGTACTATGTATGCCAGCTTCCACTCACTTGGAATGTTATCCTCACGTAGAGATATATTGAACAACACGGTTGAAGACGGAGCGATGATAGGAGCGGTCTCTTTGAGGATTCTGTTAGGAATCTCATCGGGACCGGTAGCTTTTTCAGGTTTTAACGCCTTAAAAATTGATTGAACTTCTTGAACAGCCAGAGAAATGTCCGAAATGACGGAGTTGGACGTAGAGTCCTCTGTAAGCAGGATTGAGTTTGTATTTGTATTGTCTACAAATGCCGGTGTGAAGTATTAATTAAACATCCCTGATATATCTCTAGGGGTGTCATCAGTTGATCTTGTATTGCCTGTTTCCATGGAGACCTGCTCTGGGATGCTACGTGTCTTGGAGTTTATGTTAAGAACTGACCGTAGGCGTCCAGGATTGGATTTTAAGTCAATGTTCACAGACTCAAAGAATGTTTCTTTTGTTTTCCTTGAGCATACGCTTGATCTGAGCTCGTAAGCTACGAAATTTCTCCCTCAACTTGACGGATGGATGCTAATTGAGCTTCCTACGTACAGAATCCTTTTTCTTGATCAGGTCGAGAATTGCACTTGACAGCCAAGGAACAGGGCAACGACCTTTCACGCGTTTTTTAGGAATATTGTCGTCTACAGCAGCTAAAAATGGTCTTTCCAAGCTTCATATATCCAGCAGGTATGTACTGTGATTTAATACTAATCTTTATGAAAAAAATTAATAAAATAAAACAATATGTGGCTAGAAATTGAATCCATGTTTAAATAACTACGCTTAAAATATCGATCAAAAGCTGATGAAATCTAAAATTTCAAAGTCGAAATCCATCTCTCCGTTGTCTTAACGTCAAACTCAGCATTCTTTGCATCGCAAGGCACTCTTCGCGTTAGAACCCCTCGGAAAGATGAAGGCGCATTTTATTAGGGAAAAAGATGTTTTTGCTTCATATTGCCTTCCACCGGTTGTGGTAAATGTTCCATGTGCCTCTTGTCTGAGCAAACTTTGTTCAGTTCAGCTCCTCTGTTCAGTTCTTCTCTGCTGATGTCTTGAGGGATGGGTTCGCCTTTCACATTGTTGCATACCGCACTTAAGAGTTCAGGGTCCAGGTCTCTCAGCTCATTATGTCGTTTTGTGAAATCATGGCGCGGTCTAACGTAAAGAATTCCCCGCCTGCACACGTGGACTTGTGGAGGGAATATCACCGACTGTAGTTTGACATAATCCTCCTCCTGATACTTTGCCAATTGAACTACCTCACTCACCCAATCAGACGCCTTCTCACTGATGTAATCCTCCTGATACTCCCGTGAGCTTATCGTCGCGACCAGATGTATCTTCGCTTTCACTGTTTATGTTGATGCCGTTTCCTTAAATACTTCTTTCACGCTGTCTTTCTTGTTTCGGCTTTGCGATAATCCAGCGCTCCTTACCGTTTGAGAAGTAGCCAAAGTCTGGACCCAGGGTACTCAACATGTCTCACTATCTCTTCATCTCTGTAGTAGAGCCTGTCCCACCTGCATCATCGGCGAACGAGCACTGCTTTGCTGTGGACGTTACCTGTAGACTCGTGATAAGAGGTTGGATGCTTAAAGCACAAAAAGCATAGCGATCCGATCTCCCTGTGTGGTACTTTCTGCTCAATGACAGGATCTCTTTACCGCTAGTGATAAGTTAATAATTGTCTCTACGTCTTAGTCACGAAAGTACTTACAATGTTTACCTCTGTTTTTATGATTTTGTAATCGTTCCTTTGAACATCAACAACGCGCATATAAAAGCTAAGTTAGCATTCCTTTAAAGTAGTTTTCCCATTGATTTCGAGTGGTCTTGTCAATTCTGTAGATGATTACCGATAAAGGACAAGAGTGGGAAATTTAAAAAAAATGACACAAAACGTCTCAATAGTTATATCAAAAATTATAAACAGCGTGTTAAATTGAGCAGGTGCGAACTAGAACGCTATGTTCAGGTTTATAATGCCAGTTATAGTCATGATTTAAAATAAAAACTACGTTTAAAATAATTTGCTTCGGACTTCAAAAGAGATGATTAAAAGAAAACCGGCATGTTCGTCTCCTGATTAGGCTTCGTGAAGCAAAATTTGCATGCCTTATAGTCAGTGATATGTACTCTGTGGCTATGAACTCTCAAGCGGTAGGTGGGTGGGGTTGGTGTTCTATAGTCAGCCATTCCATTATAGTTATGCATGGTCCTGCAAGTAACTTGACGGCTTTGACAACCGTCCAGATCTAATGGTCTGGTCTCCACTGCTTGGAGCTTGTCAGGTGTTACAGAAAGTGACTGGCCAGTTCTTGGTTTTGCCGCTGTGGCTTTGTCTAGTTGTTAGGTCATATTGTAGCGTCTGCTAACGGAGGTGCTTGAGGCTCGTCTAGAGCGGCTCGGATGGATGACTGCTGGAAGATCATCTTTTGTATCAGGAAAGCCATCCAAGGTTGTGTTTTTTAGCCTCTGTAGAGTTGGCTCACAAATTTCTCTCTCTGGGTTTCATTGAGTTGGTGATCCGGAACGGAAAGGAAATGGTTGGTATGAATGCGATCGACCACTTGTTCTGCGCGGGTAAGCTCCCAGTCCTTCATGAAAGCTCTCGATAGATAGCCGGCCGGCAGCATCCTTTTCCTACGCTTGTAGCTTATCTCGTAGTCATACTGCTGAAGTGGTAACAAGGCACTCTAGCTTCTTGGGTGCTGATGCTAAGGGCTTCTGCATAATAAAGACCAGGGCTTTTTGATCAGTCCGCAGGATGACTTTCTTAACGAACACATATTGGTGGTTATGCTCCGTGCCAAGGCCGGGAACAAAAATTACTTCTCGATCTTAGAGTACTTCCTCTCTGCCAACGGGAGTGTCACTGGTTCACCATGCCGCATTAGTAAAAAGTCAAGTCTATTCTTGGACGTATCTCCTTGGCCCTCTGTTGGGTCACCCCTTCTGAAGTACTTGAGTTCTGCCGCTTTTTTAGCAGCGTCTTTGATCTCTTCGAAGGCATCTCTCTGGTCATGAGTCCAGATCCACTTACATTCTTACATGTCAGTCCGCTCTACTAAGACTGAAATTTGTTTAGCGCTCGAAAATTGTGTTCGTCTTGCCAAGCAGTAATTATTCCACATCTCGAAGACTGTATCGATCCTACCTTTCTCTTCCTTGGAGGTAAAGGTTAAACCAGAGTGTATATATCGAGGGCTTCTGACGCGATGTATGTGATGGGAGACACTACTCGATAGATGTCCAGCTTCGAGTGTAAATCGAGGGTAAATTCCATGTTTGACAGGTTTGATGGCCTACTAGCCTAAAAACACATGGTTCTACAAGGTCACGATATCTTGCACCACAGTCCTATCATTACAAGACCCTCCTACAATTTGGGAGGAAAAACAACAAAACATGCATAATTTTATGCAAGTCGAGGTTCATACATTGGATGTTTTTCGATTATAGCATATTACTGAGAAATTGAAACTTGCGACCGGTATCTACACTTGATTACAAGCAGATGTATTGAAAATGAAGAAGATGCGACTAATGGGTACATCTCTCGACAGCGTCGCATAATCAGCATTCCAGCATAAATAAAGTTTACCTTGTTTTATACAGATTGTCTTTTTATCGCAGAATTGAAACTTGCAACCCGCATTCAGAAGTGATGGTCACATCCTCTGGACCAAAATTAATGCACAATGAATAAGACTCTTAGAGAGCCTTAATGAGAGACTCGAATAAATGATATCGTGCCTGAGTTTTCTTTTCATCCATCGAAATCAAGGACGATTGAACGACACAACGAGACGCACTTCCCTTTGGGTAGTAAAAATAGGCCTCTAAGGGCTATTCCCCCACTTCCCCCTTTTCCCAACTCAACGCTCCAAAGAAAATAAGGCTGAGAAGTGCTTGAATGGATGACTGTATAAATTATTAACGATTAATTTGATTTCATTGGGGTGAATAATCACCAAGTAATTAAAAACTACATCCTCCCTGCATGTAAGATGGATTCCGATCTCAGCTTTTTATAGCGGGGGCTGATGGGTCTATCAAGACTAATGTATCAAGCAATAATACAAATCTGTGACTTTAGCGACACAGTCTAATTATTATAAAGCCTTGAATGCCACTAATTGTCCCTGAAATTATCTGTTTACGTTCTATTGTCTTCCTTTTAAAATGTCAGCAGGATTAAAACTAAGAAGAATAGTCCTTACTTTTTTACTTTACATATATTTTAGTTTAATATTGGGGACGTATGAAACAGGTCTATAAAAAGTCAGAAGACAAACTATGTGCCTCCACTTATGAAAGTTAAGTGCAGGAACTGTGTATGCTAGAAATTTCTTATTTTTTAATGTTCTAATATCCTAACAAAGTCATATTCTACAAGAACCGATGTCTTCTTTTCCGTTTTTTACATAAAGAAACCTAAGGTAGCATTACGAATTATAATATGGCTCAAAACTAATTGAAACTTGTTGGTTTTTTTTAATTTTTAAGCACTGAGAACAACTGAGTGCTTTACACATTGTAAAGCTGGAAAAGTGAGATAACATCTCTTCGCAAGAAGGTTCAACTTGAATGTTAGAATAAATTTGTGACTTGCATAAGTTAAATTCGACCTGACCAGTTGTCTTATTTTGTGTTGCTTCATTGATGGTCTATTGTTTATTTTTCTTTACCTAACAAACGTATACTTTATAGCAGATTTAAAATCAAGCGCAACAAGAAGAAACTTTCTCCTCTGAAGGCATTCTTTACAAACAGAAGAAAGAGTCCGAACTTACAGGTAGTACAGCTTGGTATTGTTACTGAATATGCCTGATGGTAATTCCTTCAACTGGTTGTTGCTTATATCCCTGCCAAGAATTGATAGAGGGTTACGATGTATTCAACAATTACGTTGAATTGAAGGGTGTATCCGGTAATGCTGTATTTCCTTGCATGCTTTGATATGATATCTATCTTGCCCTGTGCGAGATGGATCTTAGGCATTCTTTACAAAAAGAAGAAAGGGTCCTAACTTACAGGGCGGACAGCTTGGTATTGTTACTGAATATGCCTGATGGTAATTCCTTCAACTGGTTGTTGCTAATATCCCTGCCGAGAATTGGTAGAGGGTGGTGTTCATTACCATGTATTCGATAATTACATTAAATCAAAGGGTGCATCCGGTAATGCTGTACTTTCGTGTGAGCTTTGATAGGGGGGCTCAAACAAATCTATGTAATCATTTCTTTTCTATCAGCTATGAATATAGCCTATTTTGTGCTTAACCAGAACTGTAAGTGAGCTCGTTCCATTTTCACGTTAGGTATTTTTTCTTTATTTTTGGAGACTGTGCCTTAATTCTTAGATTTGGGAGCTCTATGTAAACCCAGAGCCTGAAGGAGGGGGAGGGGGCATTGGTTAAATACCCATTAACACTGAAAAAGCAGGGGTGGGGGTGGGGGGGGATTTCGCAATCTCTAGCGGGGAGGCTCCCCAAATTAAGAATAATTTATCGGGTAATTATTATTGTCCGGGTGAAAGTGGTGCTTCGAAGGATTGTGTTCGGAACCAATTCCAACGTTTCGATAAGTCCAGCGGAGGTTATCCTAAGGGTCGAGTAAAGAAATATTGTCAGTCGACAACTATCCTTCGCAGGACTACCCCCATCCGGACGATCAGGCCACAAGATCACACGTCAGTCCGTGTCACTGACACAGTGACTGAAATAATCAGTTCAGGTACACTTCAGGTGTTCATGTAAAGGTTGGCTTTAAGTGCCTATCAAGATAACGTTAGAACGTGTAAAGTATATGCTGAGTACAACCGTTACGATATGTGTGCTGCAACCGTTGTTGAAATCGAGAGTTAAAACTTAAAATGAGTTTAGATTCTTCGTTAGCGTGGCTTGACAGCTAATTACACTCTTTGATCAACCCGATAAAGCAAATCCTTCATTTCCCACTTTGTTATTAAACTACACGCTGTGTTTATAACTGTTTAATTACACTCACAATTTTGACATAGCAGGCGGAAATTTCCATGCAATTGAATTAAAGCTTTTTCCACTGCAATTCACACTAACGATAGTTTGGTGGAAGACGTCACATTCGCAAGAGCCTGGGCACTCTAAAATGAGGCAAGAAATGATTGGCCGTTAAAATTCGTCAACAAAGGCTTCAAATTTGTAAGACTTAAGTCAGTTGTTTGGGCAACGAAGAATATTTCACTTTGATAGAACATTACTGTAAAATCACAATTACCAAGATTAAACGAACACTTCAGAGTTACGATGTAAATTAACTGATCATGAGTCAAAGATGAAAACTGGATTGAAAACACGAACTTCAGGTACACTCTATGCAGGCGCCAAAATCGACAAACTGGTAAAGTAACTTCACTTGGAATAGAAACAAGTTTAAGCGTACAAATGTGAATTTCCTTTGGTTATCATCATATACGCCTTCCCCTTCACTAGATAACTATCATACCAATAATTAACATTCAAACCTAAAAACAACATACAAATTAAATTAAAGGGATATAGAAAGATCACTTTTGAAAGGTCAAATAAGATCCAACCACCAAAGTAGCTTAAACGTTTTTGGGGTGGTTAGAATTTTGAGCAAATGAAAAAGTACAGGTTTAGATAATCCAATTATACAAAGTACTGATATACTTCAACAAAACAATAATACCTCACCTTCAATTCTGAGGCTGATGTTTCTTCTTAATACCTCTCCATCTCTTCTTACCTCGCAGCTGTAATTCACGTTGTCTTCTGAAGTTACTTGAAGCTGAAATGTTATGCTGGTACTATTTTGAACAGTGACACCATCTTTTCTCCATACAATGTATGGAGCTGGCGCACCTTTCACTGGGCACCACAGTTTAGAGGTTCTGTTCAAAAATACATACTGCGTATTTGTAGCTTGATCCAACGTAGGATTGACTATATTAGATTTCAAAGAAAAAAGGAAAGCAATTGTTGGAATTATTATGGTGTATGTATGCAGAAAACCTTAGAAACAGTTCGGGAGGATAATTCGTATACATGCACATCAAAAAATATTCTAACTCTGACACAATTCAGTGTTCAGGCCAAAGTAACATACGGATTCTATTTGTATCCTTCCCCTTTCTTTGTCTCCGCCTGTCTGTCTGTGGATTTAAGGATACGGTAGACCTTCGAGTGCCAACTTTTTATTTTTTTATGTTTTAATTTTTTTTTTCATGTCAAACTAAGCATTATTGATTTCACTATAATTTCCAAGAACATTTTGGTGAGATATTGAAATGCGGGCGAAAATCTCTGTTATCCGTCTGCGTTTAAAACTAGCATGTGAATGGAGAAAAATAAAAAGGAAAAGAGTCCATAGGTGAAAGTAAAAAGAAGCCTGGCTTTCAGCAAAAGAAGTAAAGAAATTCGTTGCGGAATGGCGAAATAATCTCACAAAGTGGATAAAACCTTGTAGTTTTGGAAATTTTCATTTCTTCGTCCTACGCTCGAGACCAGACGAAAAACATCTTTTTCTACTTGTTTACCAAGCTCAAAACCTACCACTTCTCTTACTCTATTAACTAAAAGTCTACTTGTTTCTGGAATTTAAAATTAGTAATAGATATATATCTATATGCATATATATAGGTATATATTGATTAATTGAAAGAAACATCATGCCTGTTTCATTGATGGATCTGGCGGTATAGAATACGTCGAAGTTATAGAGATCTGTCCGGATAAATTTCAACCACATGTATCGTCCACTGGATCTCACTACTCCAGTTCCGTAATCTCCACAGAATTCACCAAGAAGATTGGTTGACTGACTACTGCCATCACGAATTTCAAGATTATATCCCCATAGACATAGTCGTGGAATGTCGCTGCGTATTGTAAAGTTTAGTTCCACATAATTTCCCCGTGAAACTGAGAGAAATTTTTTCCCGTCAAACTCCTGGACTCGTTTCCAATCTTGTGCACGTGCTTGCTTATCATACTCAATCAAACCTGCAATAACTGCAACGAGTCAATTAGTCTGGTTGCAACAAAAACAATTGATAGTTATTATGAAGAAATTATAAATGATACATTAAGACCAAGAAAAAAGACAGTGGCTTGCAAAAAAACTGAGCTCTGTCTTGCGAGCACAATTACTCCATTTATTGAATTTTAGACCATTAAACAAATCCTAAATTAAAATATACTTTACTTTATTTTATACTCCGCGCAGGAGAGAGTAGAGACCACAAATCGACCTCTGCTCCAGCTTACGATTTCAAACATTCGAGTTAAATTAAATCAAAAAAAATACATTATCATTGACAGAAACAAAATATTAAATGAAGAAATATTGTGTGAAGTTTCAATAACACAACATAAATTGTCGGTCATTCTTCGTTCATCCTCTAACTCTTCAGTACCCTCCTTCGACGAATATCCCACTCATTATCTCTGTTCCCTTCCCAGTGGCGCCCACCCCACCCATGGAGCCTCCCCTCCTTCATAATTAGAAAAAAAAATGAGAAAGCTTAAAATTTTTAGATAATGGTTGTAAACAGCCAAGGCGCTTACAGAAAACAAGGATGAAACTCCACTTGGCCATTGAAGATACCATCACAATGTTGTGTGCTCTAGAAGTAAAGTTCATATGCTTAATTTTTCCTTATTCACTGTAAGCTTACATCAAGCCAACAGAGATTTGTAAACAAAATACATGTAGACGCAGTGAAATGCAATAATTGTTTTCAAATAGAAAATTATGTTTATGTATGCTTTTATCTTCGACGAAATTGATTGACAATTTTTTAAAAAACCATTATTTCACCTGAGTTTTGGAAATCATTGCTAGTTTGAGAACCAACTCTGGAAAAAAGGAGAGAAGCTCAATCTCTTGTTCGGTCCATTACGTAGTTTGGGACCAAGATTGAAAACAACAAGATCATTTATTATACGGTTTATTCTGGATAGTCCATAAATGATGAATCTCGTTTTTCTCGACACCTATTTCCTGAAAAAAAATGTTGATATGTTGAGAGAGTTAACTCTTTTTTAAATCTGAAATTGGGATAATGTACTTTGGTTACTGAGGCTGATGTCATCTAATATCAGCATAAAAAAATATTAATTCTTGGAACCCTTATGACTGATGGATGACTTTTCTGCATTCAGAATCTAAATATAAATTGAATTCGAATGCTGTCTTTTTTTTAAGCTTTCAATATTTCATGGTAAAGGAGAAAAAAGTCCCTGCCTATGGTCAGCAAAAGCCAACAAGAAAGATTAATAAACCGGTTGTAAAATCTTTTGTTGGACTAAGAATTCCAAAATAGGAACACGAAATAAAAAGAAAAAATAATTGAAAGAGCAGCTTTGTGAATATAAGTTTTTGTCTTGTTTTAACGCGTGGAGTGATATATGTATCTAAGGAAGCTGTAGGATTAGGCTTTGCATTGCATGCTGGGTTAAAGGTCGGCCATCATGAATAAACCTCGTGCTAGCTTGTGTTTACTCGAAGTCTCTTTTCTTCTTCGTCTGATACTACAGAAGCCATATGTGAAATAATTTAAGCGCTTGTATTCACCTTATAAGAAAGCAATTTTTATATTAACTTCATCTACATAGAGTCGGCAATTTTCGAATAAAAATCGCTGTTTCCCTTTTATTTTGATCATAGACAGGTAGTAATAATAATCCTTTATTCACTGTAATTACTAAAAATATTTACAAAATAATGATAAAATCCATAAAAATCGAAAAATACATGAAAATGTCAAATAAAAATCTAAGAACAACTAACGGATACACGCTTCGTTTACGTTTACTTCTTGAACTTTGAATAAGAAGATAATTGGAAAAAAAGTAATAATAGTAATGTGAAGAATATTAAAAGTTTTAATCCTAAAAAATCTTGGTAGTTCGCTACCGATTCCAAAGCCCCTACTAATCCTAAATGTGAGGAATAGTAAAAGGTAGTAAAAGCTAGTTCCACTTTGATTCCCTATCACTATTCTTGTCTTTTTTTAAAAAAAATGACCTCAAATACACGTACGAAATTTTGTAGAGCGGATAATTATTCTTCTTTTCCTTCCTTAGCCAAAATATCTTGGAAAAGAGGCCATTCAAAGTATCTCGATAAGTTCATATTATCAGGTTTAAATTACGCAGTCCATCAACATGCACCCGAAATGAATCAGTCTCTCAATTCTCGCTTACAGACTACTTAACAACCCAATAAAATAAGAAATAGGAATTCCAATGTGATCACTGAGCTTAGTTAGAATTCAGTTACGAGATGAATCATTGATAAACTTATTGCTAATTCATGGCGACCGATAAAAATATTCCATACTATATTTGGCGCTTTTCATCCTCTAAACATGAAATATAAAGGTGATTTTTATTCCTTTGGAAAAGCTGAACAAAATCCCGACCGTTGCGCAAAGTAAATATTATGTTCATGCATTTTTAATGTAAGGAAGAAAGAATGTACAAATTTTTTGGAATTTTCCTTCCTACAAAGAAAGTGCTTCTCTTTTCCCTTGTGGTGTTCTCCAACCTCTTCGGCGAAGATATTGATGACACATTTACAGTTTTGGAGGAAATAAATTGAAATCCTCGCGCTGGGAATAGTTATCCTTTTATCCATCACTCAGCTGATAATTTTACAAGCTGCATGCTTTTTGTTTGTGCTCTGATGTCATTTGAATTTTTCATTTGATCGAGTTGATCGTTTTCCAAAATTCTCAACACTAATTTTCTTGACAATATAACGATGTTGGTAGAGGGAAATGAGATTTCGATGAATTGAATGAAGTGTTATCATGAATTGATTCAAGTTTTACTCATTTTGTTGTGTACTGGTTTTGACAGGGCGTAAAATGCACATCTAGAGCATAACTCACACATACTATGGTTAAAAACTGAAAGGAATCGAGTTGATTTTGTAGTGGAAAAATATTCTAGACATATTAGAAACTATATTGTGGCAAAGCACGTAGCATATTCATCAACAGGATCGACATCTGTACTGACTGTGTACATGTAGTTATCTCGCAATAAAAAAAGGAAGGCTCGCCACCTTTAGATAAAAAGAGCTCGTAATAAAATAACTAGGTTCTTCATTGTTTGAAATTTATCTTAAATTCGAAAACCGTCACTATTCGTTCTTTTTGGAAAGAAAATGGCTACTCCCCTTTAAACAAGAGATGTTTCAATGTCTATATAAATATTCTAGCCATATTTTGCATAGTTTATGGTGCGAACGTCGCGAGAAACTATTTAAAAGTGTTTTTTAATCTTTAGATGAAGAAAAGCCGCAGAAATGTTAGGTTTGCGATTTTGTGGTTTAACCGGTCTCGTTCTTCTCAAAGTAAATCTGCTTAATATCATCATATATTGAAGATAGAAGGAGAAATTGCGCTTATATCACTCTACTGCATAACTGTGTAACTGACAACACATCATAAAAGAACTGACAGAAAAAAAGATCTGTATGCGTTGCGCGCTTTCTATATCACCTAAAAGACTAATTGATTCAGCAATTTTTCAATTTCTCATCAGGACATAGATTTTTGAACAAGGCTTATGGAAAGACTCCACAAAATCGAAGAGTTGTAAACTTTTTTTTTTTTTTTATGTCCGTTACTCTGTAAATATAACTGTTTATCGTTCACTAACTGACTTCTTCGTTTCTTTTTTCTCAGGTGCCATTTGACTTTCAAATTAACGTTTTACAAGGAATATGTTTCCCTTTCAGTAAAATTCGCATCTCTATTGTAAAATACCATTACAAAACATACACTCTTGTTTATTATTTCGAGGATAATACTACTATTTGTGTTTTTCGAAGAATTTAGACTCTTTTCTATGTCGATCAATCAGTCGATTAAAATGTTTAACTTTTTTCGTGTCCTTTGTTTCTCAAAAAAAGCGGAAAATTCACCTAACTATAACATAAAATCACAAAAATAGAGAAAACAAACTAAAATGATCGAATTACAGAACTTCAGAGGCTAGAATATTTTAGGATAAATACAGTGGTAACAAACAGAACAAAAATAATGTCATCGAAAGGATCGCCATGTGTCAATATCTAGGAAGCTTATTTCCTATGAACAAAAAAATTCTCTCTACTTTCAAATCTAACTTTTGTACCGTATAGTGAGCGAGAGAGATGAATTAAACTATTATGAAATAAGAACAGAAAGAAACGAAACTCTTATGTTTAGTACCTGAATGCTGATTTCCCTTTACTCTGTAAGAATCTGATCGCGTTTATCCGCATAAGCAGAAGATAATTAATTCACACAGAGGTATAGGCTTTTACAGCTGTTTTCATTGTTGTTTTTAATAAATTGAGAGTTTTAGATAGACAAAAATTTCCATCACGTCTACCTCAAAAGAGAACTGAAATAAGGTATATTTTTTTTTTCTTCTCCCTTTTCTCTTTGAGCAGTTTTAATAACTAATTTATATAATGTTGCAATGAACTAAATAAACTGACTAAATTATATGACTAACGTGACTATTCATCGGCAACCAACGCTTTTATTATTTCAGAACAGTATTTGACTTTTCAAATCCAAATTATGACAAATGTTTTACCCTTAATACATTTTTTTTTTTATTTTCATGAACACTGACTTACTTTTTTGAACCGAGAATCCAAAACTACGGATCTCATCTCAAAAGCATTTTCATTTTCTTCTTTTATCAACTTCTCGAAAACGAAACTTATTTCCGCGATATAATGTCCCTGGATTGAAAATGACCCGTCATTGGAAAGTTAAATATGTTATTTACCAACTGGGAGGTTCTTAGAGTTTAAATCTCCGTTAGAGGGCAGGATTTTCAAGTTTTCACCACAAGGACCTTCCTCAGCCGGTTGATAGTTTACCATCACTTTCTCTTTTTTTCTCAGTTCGTGAAGGGGGGGGGGGGGGGGTATTTTACAATTTTGTGATCTGATCCGTTCAAGGAGCGGGCAGTCCCGCTTTTTCCCTTACCACCCAACCCCCACCCCCTCCTCTCACACACCCACACACGCTCACAGCGGGTGATATCCGTCGGGTGATTGCGTTATATGTAGATATCCATTTTTTGCCAGCGGGGGACAGCGTGTTTAAAGCCTTTCTCATAGATCACTACTACTAGGGTTGACCTTACAAATGACTTATGTAAAGTTTTGCTCCTCAAATCATTTTCGTTGTTTGCGTAAAATTGGTTTCCAGACAAATTTGTTATCGCAAATATATCATTGATTGGATTATAACTCTTGACACGTGGTCTAAACACCATAGGTATTTTTCACTCCTTTGCAAAAAGACTTGGAGAGGTATTTATTGGCATTTTAATTAATAATTCTCACGTTCAGTCATTTAATGCCTGGATTCTCCTAATTTTTTCGGTAAACAAAATTTAAGCATAGTTATGAGTTCTTCTAAACTAAACTTTCGGTAAGTTCATTCAATTCGGGCTTCCACATCAGAAACCGAAAGAATTCAGTGAGCGAAAGCTGAATTAAATGCCCTCGTTTCTTCTTTTTACGCTAAATTATTTTTTTTTCATGAACACTGACTTACTTTTTTTTGAGACGGGAATCCAAAACTACGGATCTCATCTCAAAGGCATTTTCATTTTCTTCTTTTATCAA